CCATTCCTGGACATATAAAAGGTATGGAGATTCTAAAAAGACTAACTTTAAATCTTTCTGATGGTCAATATGAATTTGGAGTTAAACCCTGTATTAATGCCAGACCTGTTACCGTCGGTAAAGTAAAAGTGCCTCCTGTGCAGATCCCAGCTGTACCTAAGTTAGTCATAATGAATCGCTATAGAATTCCAGGAGGACATGAAGAGATATCGCAGACAATTAGAGATGTATTAGATGTAGGAGCTTTAAAGCCGACCACGACAGCATGGGACAATCCAATATGGCCTGTCAAGTTACGTGATGAATCCTGAAGAACGACGGTGGATTTTAGAGAACTAGAAAGACATACTCCACCGCTTGCAGCAGCTGTGCCAGACACTGTCACTTTAATAGAAAAAGTTCAGAAACATCCAGAAACTGGGTACACTGTAATAGATTTGGCTAATGCATTTTTTACCATCCTGATTGCAGAAGACCACAGGGATGGTTGCATAGCCCCTCTATCTGTCATAGAATTCTAGTTGAACATTTAGATGAAATACAGCTGCCCCCTTACACACAATTAAGCCACTATATAGATGATGTTTTGATCCAAGGAAATGAGGAGGAGGAGGTACAATAAGTCCTTGAATTAGTGGTAAATCACATGAAATGGAAGGGTTGGGATTTTAACCCTGAAAAAAAACCCATAATCCAAGGACCGTCTCAGACAGTGAAGTTTCTAAGAATTCAGTGGCACTGTGGGCATCGAGAAATACTGCCTAAAGCCCAAGAAAAAAAATTTAGATTTTGCTGTACCACAAAATAAAAAAGAAGCTCAAAGATTCATTGGGCTATTTGACTTCTGAAGGCAACATATTCCCTGTTTGGGATAAATGTTAACCCTTTGGTATGAGGTGATAAGGAAATATTATGAATTTGAATGGGGAAATGAACAGCAAGCTGCTTTTGAATTAGCTACAGAAACCATCAAAAGGCTTTAGATTTATGGCCTCTGCAGAAAGGATAAGTGGAGTTAAATGTGTCAGTAAATGGATGCCCAAAGATCACAGCATTCTGTCCAAAGGCTCCAACAATTATGCCATCCCCATGGCCTTGACCACCCCAGAAATCCTAAACTAAAACAGGAGGGAAAGTTCAAGAAGAGCTGGTGTAAGGCTGCAGGGAACCCCACTTGGGTGTGGTATGTATGGATACATGTATCTGTAAGGTTCTTTAAATAAGACTTGTATTTGTGCTATCATCTTCCTAAGAGGAGTGATAGGGCAGGAGGGTAGCGGCCAAGGAACAAGGCAGTCATCAACATATCACTAGGCCGCAATGATTGATTTGATTCAATCAATGTAATTGCAGACCTTGGTGTAGACACTGGGATAACCTTTCAGAGCACACTCATTTTCCTATGACATGATTCCCTGGAGTTTTCCAAGCATACAGCTGAGCCGCTTACGTCGTCCTGGAGAGAAAAATTTAGAAGCATGAGCTGATGTAATGAGGTTTTGACTTGGTACAAAGAATCCAGGGAATGCAAAGTGAAGTGCAGCAAATCCTGACATGGGAGCACAGGAAGATAACACCCCTTATTTGCTGACCTCCCTTACCCCCCAACATTTCACTGCTACTGAACTCAGTGCCCAGCAGATGTGGCTGGACCTCCTAGTTCACCTGTACCAAAACCCTGCTGGAAGGATACTGTGTCAGAACAGAAGACCTGGATATGAGGAGGCCTAAGCACTCTGCCAAGCTCTGACAAATACTGTGTGGCCTGAGCGACCTTGGAGTTTGTGACTCTGAGCTCTGTGCAGACATCAATGCTTACCTGTCATGAGTCTTTCTCACCATCCAGGAATCCTCCACAGATCATATTGCTGGTGATTTGTCCTGGGTAAGCCTCTTGGCAGTTTTGGTTACTCAGAACTGGAGTTGCTAGTCACTGGAGAACCGTAGGAAATTGGCTGCCAGGACAGCAGTGAAAACTAGGATATGTGAGAACCATCCAGCAAAGCAGGTTAACCCTTGACCTGCATGGGAAAATGCAAAGGGCATGGCAGGACAGTTTGGGGAACTCACAGGCAGAATGTGGCAGAAGCTTTGGAGAATGTACCAGGTCCTCCTGGGCAGGAGAGACTTGGGAAGAGAGAATCAATGGTCCCTCCACCAACGTGATGTGTACAAGGACTAGCTTCAGAAACTCCTCCACTTCATGCCCCTGGGAAGCTTTATCTCTGTTAGCTCATGGCCTCACCAGGTTTCCCTTTCCCAGGATCTTGCATCACCTGGGACAAATGTATTTACTTTATTTGAGTCCAGTAATGATACAGCTGACTGAAATACTTGAACTAGGAACATGGATTTCTAGAAATGCAAACTGCCATTGCTTGTCCATTGATAATATCTAGCACAGCTGCCCTCCATTCACCACTTCTCCTCCTTCCTGTGTCCCTGGAAACACCAGCATTCTGCTGCAGCATCACTGCATTAAAGGAGAGACTTGTTTGCAGTTGGAGATGTATCTCCAGAGTGTATTTTTTGAAAGACTCTAAAAAAACCCCCTTACAATGTGTCTGTAGAATGCTCAGCAGCACTGAGCAGAAGAGGGTATTTATGTTTCAGGTAGAGATTAATTGTCTTAAAGAAAGGAAGGAGGAGTGGGAGGAGGTGTTCCAGTTTCAAGCTGAACGCAAAGAAGTCATCATTCTCATTATTCTGCTCACTCACTCTCCTCCTCGAGCAGGATGGGGGGAAGCGGATTGGACGGGCAAAAGTGAGAAAACTCATGAGTTGAGATAAAAACAGTTTAATGATTTAAATAAAGATAATGATAATGATTTTAAAAGTACTAAGACAAAGGAGGTATGGTCGAGCTTCTCAATTGAGATGCGAATTCCTGGATTTTCCTGAAATTTAGGTGGATACTAAACCCGGTATTAAACCCTGTGAAAAAAAAAAGGAAAAGGAAGCTGTCCTTCATAACCTAGGTGTTGCCTAACAGGTTATTAGAGCTGTATCTTGGGAAAAATGTTGTTTTAAAAAATCTGATGACAGCCTATCTCCATGCCAATGTATGTTTTGGACAAAGAAATCATAAATTCACAGGGACATCAAATTATACACTATTGTGGATTGGGAATTGTTCTTGCTCTGCTTAGCTATGATCAGATTAGATAGCTTTAGTAATTTTTGCCACGCTCAGACTATTACAGATCTTTCAGTTTTCCACAGGAATCTTCTAATCCTCATTTGTTTCTAAGGATAAAATGTGTTTGTAAGAAAGCTGTGCTCTGATGCCAGTTTAAAGCCCAAGACAAGTCATGCAGCTCCTTTGGGAGTTCCTGGCCTTGGACTTGTCATATAACATGAAGAAAACTTTCCAGCTGGACAGTGCCACTGTGTGTACCAGTCCTCCAGGGCTCTCAAAAAACTGCTCAAAAAATGGAGTTGAAAAGTTGTTCCTATTTAGTCTCTCATTCCATTTCAGCATCTCAAAGCATATAACTTCTGTTTACAGTCACCTGAGCTTGTCTTTCAGGAGATAACATGATGAAGCCAGCAGCTGCTTGGAAAATGGTTATTCATCAAACGCAATGTTTTAGCAAATTCAGCATTGTGACAGAAATTATCATTCTTTCAGAGAAGGATTTCAGAAGATCTCATTAGTTCTGTTCACAAGCATGACATCCCTAAACATCAATGTTATAGTGTGTTGTGCTTTAGCCCCAGCCGGCAACAAAGCACCACAGAGCAGCTCACTCATTCCCCTTCCCCGAGCAGAAGAGGGGGGGGGAGAAGAGAATTGGAAGGGCAAAAGTGAGAATACTCATGGGTTGACAGAAGAACAGTGTAATAAATGAAATAAAATAATAGTAGCGGTAATGATAATGAAGATAATAGTTTGCAATGAAATGGAAAAATACAAAGAGAGAGAGAAAAAAACCCAAGAAAGGCAAGTGATGCAGATGAAAACTATTGCTCACCACCAAGCAACTAATGCCCAGCAGCAGCCCCCACAGCCAACCTTCCCCCTAGTCTGCAGCTGGGCACAATGTCATACGGTATGGACTGTCCCTTTGACCCCTCCTGGATATTTGTGCACCCCCAGCCTGCTTACTGTCAGGGTGGTGTGAGGAGCAGAAGTCAAGCATGCAGACTTGACTCTGTGTAAACCCTGCTCAGCAATAACTAAAACATCCCTGTATTATCAACAACACTGTTTCCAGCACAAATCCAAACCACGGCCCCATACTAGCTTCTGTGAAGAAAATTAACTCTACTGCAGCCAAAACCAGCACGCACTGAAATTGTTCTGTGACAAAAATGAGTCCCTATAGATCGTTCCAAAGATAAATAAAAAACACAGTTGGGTACTTAGGTCAATATTATCATAAGGATTAGGTGAGCTTTCAAAGAAATAATGGTGAGAATTGCCACATTTGAACAATTTAGCTTGGGAGCTGGGGAAAGGGGCACAGGGTATTTTTTTTGTGCTCACTTACTGAAATTACTTTTGAATATTTTTATTTGGGAAAATAATGTTCTATAGGATAACCCCACCCCTCCACATTACTCAAGAAAAAGGATTTGCCTAAATAACACTGAGAGGTGTTTGGTTTGGTTTGGTTTTCAAAATAAACACACAGTATCTTATACTCCATTACCTGCAATGTTCAGCTTCTGGTAAAAATAGACTTTTTCAGGAGTGACACCATCAGCGCAGAGGGATCTCAGAGGGGTTTGAGGGTTGCTCTCAAGAGGTGCTGCACGTAAGAATGAGGCAGGCAAACAACTACACATTTTCCAAAGCTCAAATGTATATTTAAATTGAAGTCTGCCTTCTGAAATAATTTAAAATAGCACGCTATCTTAGGAAAGGTTTATGATTAACTGGTATGTTATTAGTACTTTCTACCAGTGCCTGCTAATGCCCCTATTTGGATCTTCAAATTTTCCACCTGTGTACTTTCTGTCTGGAGAAAACCTTGGACTAGAGATAAGGCCATTTCAGAGAATGTATATCTAGCAGCTCCTGCTTCCACTCCACCAGTGTGGGCTTGAGGCTGTGTCAGGATCATGAAATACATACTGTTTGTCACCTTTGTTGGTGTGGCTGGTGAGTATATTTTTTACTTCTATTTTTGTAATTTATAAGTCATCTGATTCTCTGAGCACATTAGCAAGGTAGTTTATTGGGGGAAAGTTGAGCTTCAACTTTGCAAAAGTTTTAAGGCAGAGCACTGCAACTTCTTTTGACTGCTGTCTGTTCATAATTGCTTGTGTCACAAAATGGGGACTGGATGCCTTCATAAGGGTGCTTGACCGAAGAATACTGAAATGTGTCCATAGCTTCAAAAAAGACTGCCTCTCCCTTAAGGACTATGAAGTACAAAGGTAATACCTCTGTCTCGGGGAGTCCTAAAGCTGCTGTAAATTTTTGGACTGTGAGCGAGTGCCCCAAGGAAATACCACTGCAGACTTGTTTTGTACTTACACTCAGTCCACTGTTGACCACTACTGCAGACGGGATCCTGGGACAGACATCACTTTGATCCGATCCAGCAAGAACATTTCTATGTTTTTATGTTCACTCTGGGACTAGCAGCCAGTGCTTTAGATGCAGATACTTGAAATGCCAATCGGAGTCTGATCACCTTATTTTAGCGAGCAGGAAGTAAATGTCCATTAGTCTTGCCCACCACTGCTACTGTGAGTTTTTATAGAAGTAGAGCCTACAAGTGAGATGCTTCCGTTAGCCACAAGGGCACAAGGTTCCTTATGCCAGATGTTGACATACACCACTTCTTATCTCCCAGTTGCCTTCCCCAGCAGTGCTGATGATGACGACGACAAGATCGTGGGAGGTTACACCTGTGCAGCAAATTCTATCCCCTATCAGGTGTCCCTGAATTCTGGGTATCACTTCTGTGGAGGTTCCCTCATCAGCAGCCAGTGGGTCGTGTCAGCTGCTCACTGCTACAAGTCGTGAGTGGAAAAAATATATTCTTCTGTAACCTTCTTCGTTCTTCCGGTTCACTTCTAGCAGGAATTCTGAGCTGTAAGATCCAAATATGTAAGTGACTCCATTCTGACAGGAGACAACCAAGGAATGGGTGGCTCATTCAGGAAGCTGTGCTGAGGCATCATAAGGGGTATTCCACTTCTGCAAATGTTTCTGTGAATGCAGAACACTTCCTGGAATGAAGATGTGGTAATCTAGCAAGGAGTTATGGGCTCTCATTTCTTGTAAATTGGATTAATCTTGCTAGAACTTTGTCACTGGAGAACAGGAAGAGAAATGAGGTCAGGGTGATAGCAGTTTGCCTTTTTCCAGAATGTTTGTATATAGCACCGTTGCACATCCAACCCATCCCAGCTCAAAAAAATAAACCTGCAGAAATTCACCACCTGGGCTGGGAGTGGGTAAGGTCTCAGCGTGGATCCCCAGGGCTTATTGCAGGACAAGAAAGACAACCTGCATGAAAAAAACTACTGTGATAGCGATGTTGAAACGAGTGCATACGGTGACAGGTAGCTTCCTCATAACCTGTCGGTAGCAGTCAAGTGTATGCCATTCCTTCTCTTTTCCAGCCGCATCCAAGTGCAGCTCGGGAAACATAACCTGGCACTCACAGAATCAACAGAGCAGTTGATCAGTTCATCTAAAGTCATTCGCCACTCTGGCTACAGCTCTGCAACACTGGACAATGACATTATGCTCATCAAGCTTTCCAAACCAGCCCAGCTCAACCGAGCCGTGCAAACAATTCCTCTGCCTACCAGCTGTGTGGCCACAGGCACCACATGCCTAATCTCTGGCTGGGGCAACACTCTCAGCAATGGCAGTGAGTACTCTGTGGGAATGTGCAGCGTCATGAGGGCCCGGGAGACATGCTAAGACCTCATGATTAACTCCAAATAGTACTGGGAAGGGCTATGGGACAGGCCATTTTGAGTGATCAGTCTGTGTAGGACAGTAACCAGTTAACTGCTTTAAAGGCAAGCCTTTATAAGGTCCTTCCTCTTGTTCTGTGTTACGAACATGGCATCACTTAGGTCATCCATGTGCGATTCACCAGCATGTTCACACTGCCATAAATCTTGTGGCCAGGCGCTATCAGCTGTGCAGTGCCAAGACGAGCAATTTAAGTAACATCAATAGAACTGTCAGTTCTCTGAGAACAAGATGAAAATCTGTGACTGTGGTTCTAAAATTAGTACGAGAGAGCTCCATTCTCCTACATCAATGGTCAGAGGTGTGAATGGTGACTGGTGTCTAACTCCATGACAACAGCTAAACCTACATCAGGGGTTTTCCCAAGGCCCAAGTTTCCTCCAGGCTATGTGCTACAAGAGTAGCTTTAGCTCCACACTTGCCAGTGGATGATTTTCTAGGTATCAGAAAAATTAACATGGCTGCGGTGTAAAATGGTGGACCCATGGGTAGAATCTGTTCCATCTAAACAAATGGAATCTGTGCTGCGATTGCTGTTCAGAGGAAAAATGATGACTGCTAAAACAGTATGTTCAGTGATTATTTTTTGTTAGGGAAGATCTTCTCTGGGCTCTGAAATAAACTCAGAGATCTCAACAACTATCTCTCCCTATTTTCTTCTAGATTCATTTCCAGATACCTTGCAGTGCCTGAAGGCTCCTGTGCTCTCTTCAAGCGAGTGTAGCAAAGCCTACCCTGGGAAAATTACCAAGAACATGATATGTGTAGGATTCTTGGAGGGAGGGAAAGACTCCTGCCAGGTAAAATATCTGCCTCTCCTTTCCCATATGTTTCTCTCCTGCCTTTTGCCAGTAGAAGGGGCTATCATATTAGAGAATCTGCTCTCCTCACTGCACTGGCACGTCTGAATGTTGGCTTTTTTTTGAACAACAGTGGAGACTGAGGGTGAAAGTTGCTTACTGAGTGAGGCTAGGATTTTCCCCACTCAATTAGTCACTCTCCCTTCTTTGAGGTAGTGAATACCTCTGCCCTAAGTCTCCACAAGCAGGCTATGCCACCTCCTGCCCTGAGGCTATTGAAAATGGAGGAGTGCTGCACCAGAGAGACAATAGTAATTGTGGTGACTTTAGAGCTGAGGGTGCAAATGTTAGTTTTGGGCTCACTGAAAAGGAAATAGCATGCAAGATCCAGGCAGTCTGGAAAGTGAACACACCTGACAATTGATTTGCATTTTATGTGTACCTCGCTCCATGGAAATACCTGGCAGAATAACATTTAAGACGCGCATATCCTAAGCATCTGTCAAGGACTACATCATCAGAAATAGACCGGTTTACTTACCCTTAGCTGTGGTGCCCTTGCAGCTGAACTACGGCATGGTAGCGTCAGGTGTAGAATGGTAATCAGAAATGACCTTTGTAGGACTTCTGGGTAGGGAAAGCCCGGTGGAGCTCCCTCAAATGTCAGTGATTTCTGGGATCCCTGCTCCCTCACTTACGCTGATACCAACTGCTGAACATGCATATTCTTTACATGCACAGGGCGATTCCGGCGGTCCAGTAGTCTGCAATGGGCAGCTCCAGGGCATTGTTTCCTGGGGTATCGGATGTGCGCAAAGAGGCTATCCCGGGGTTTACACTAAGGTCTGCAATTATGTCTCCTGGATCAAAGCAACTATGTCTGCCAACTGAGACACTCTCGCTCTATGTGACCTGCTTTTTCTCCTCCTCATCTTCTATTTTGGGACTGGATGTAAAGAAATAATCAAAAAATAAAGACTTTCAGGCACTTCTTCTTTGTGCAACATTTCTCTGGGTACTTTCCATAGCCCACGATACGGAGGACAGAGGCAGGGAATGTCACTCTGGGGAAAATATTTAATATTTGTAGTGCAACTAGCAGGATCTTGGAACATTTTCCAGACACATCTTCAGGAGTCTTTCGGTCAGTTACATGCAGCCATTTCTGGAGCTGAACATCTTTTCTGTTTATCAGGAAGTACTCTGGTGCTACAAAACTGCCTAAAACAGCTGAGAAAGTGCGCTGAATCACACAGGCAGCATCCTCCTAATGTAGAAAACATCAGGCAGCAACACTAATGCTCCCCATCGCCACTGCTCCCACCCCCAACAATATGACTGAACATTCCCTAGTGGAACTTCCCTGAAAGCTCTACTTTGGGAATGAAACCACCTCGTGCTGGGGCTTGTTCTCTTCATGTACCAGTGCCGCTGAGGCTGCTGTCTATACCTTTTTGCTCGGTTAACTGGCCATGCTGGTTTTGCTTAGTTTTCCTGGAAGAGTCAAAATATTCCTGGGTTCTGGGTTCTAGCTTCTCCTAACCCCAACTGGCACTAGAATTGAAAGCCCATGCAAAATCTGCCAAAGTTGCCAATGGGCTGTGCAGCTGTCTCCTATAAAATAAAACAGAGAGTTTGAGTAAAATAAAAGGAGAGAAAAAGCAGACAACAGGTCAAATGGGAATAAATTGAAAAGAAATCTGACACTGGAAGAAAGGGAGGGAGAAGAGAAGAAGGAGTAAGTGCCATTTGCCTACAGAGAAGTTTGTGCCCGCTCTCTCAGATGCTTTGCCACTGAGATGCCTCCTAAGTGCCTGAGTAACTGAGATAGGCACAACATGCAAACAGGATCAGAAGGAAGCACCTGCTGAATTCCTTTGAGGCATCTGCCCTTTTCCAGAAAAAGCCGTGAGCTGTAGACTGGATCCTTCCCTTTATCCTCTTTTCACCAGGAGACAGCCTTCTTATCTGGAAGCAGTTGGAAGTCACAGGTTCTCCCTCCGTGACCACTGTGAGTGGAGGATCGTTGATGTCTTTGCCTCGTATGTTGGAGGAAATGGGAAGAAGTTGGTGTAGGACAGAGGAGAGGATGTGATGAAAATATGATGAGGTGAAAACGGAGATAAAGAAATGCTTCTGTCATCAGGCAGAGTGCATTCTGAAATATGACTGACAGGGATGCTGAGAAAAGTAGTCTGGAAACAGTCCCAGTCGTCTGTCACTATCCCCCTGATGTGTCAAGGTAAAGAAGAACTTCCACTTCCCATATTATAGGCCATTCATGATTTTCAAATTACTGGAACAGCCTCACAGGACCTCCCTTCTTACATGGCTGGAACACCACTAATGCCTGCAATGGACAGTACCATGAGAGGTGGCTGAGAATGTTTTTCTCTCCTTTATGCTGTCTAGTAAGAGCAACAGACCTCTGCAGAGCATTGAGATATGAGGACACTATTTCTCTCTCCCGCTCGCTCTCTCTGATGACATTTCCACATACTGCTTTTGTCACACAGCTCTGCACAGCAGGAGTGAGAGGGTTACAGACGTGTGAGACCTGATTGAAGCACGAGGGTCAACAGGACAAAATGCCCTCTGCTTTCTATATTTTTTTCTGAGTAAAAAGTCCAGTGGGATCAAATGCAATGTTTTTGAGTGCACATATGAAGGCATGACATCCTTGCACCAACATGGCATGACAGGAAGGGAACTAATCAAGTGGTTACTTTTCTAAAAGGCTTCAAAGGCAAGACAGAGCTAAAACACTCAGTCAGTCCCAGTTCTTGAAAGAGGCACAAGACTTGAAAGAAGTGTTAAGAACAGAACTGGGCTACAAATTATACTGGTTTGTGTAAAATCAGCATGTCTCTTGGGGAAGGGTAGAGGGGATGATCCATGACTCAGAAATTACACTCCTCTAGAGTGCTAGAGGAATAGCTCTGACAAAATGAAGGGGGGGGTTTCAAGAAGCAGGGATTGCAATACTTTGAATACTTTGTTAGCCCGTGGATCACATCTGAGATATCCACTGTTCAATTCATCTCGAAAAGGAGGTAACAAGATATTCTCAGACATCTCAACTTATCCTAGATAAATCTAAATGCCACAGAAAAAAAAAAAAAAGAAAAAAAGAAAAAGGGGAGAATTCCTGAGAGAAAATAAATAGCAGAAGAAATGAACAAACCATTTTAAGTTAAAAAAAACCCCAAAAAACAAACAAAAAACCCCACAAACCCAAAACAACAAAAAAAACAACAAACACAAAAAAAACCCCAAACCCAACAAACAACAACCAACCAAACCCAAAACCCCCCAAAATCCCAAAACACAAATAGAGAAGGGAAAAAGAAAAGTGATGCAGAGAAAAAAGTAGCCTGAGAGCACCCATGGATCTATTTATTCTATAGGCATATGTCTGTAGCTGGGAGAATTTACCCTGATAAAATAGATTTGATACAGTAGACTCCCGAGACGCCTCATTACTGGGGCCACCTGGAGTTGTGCTTGGATGACTACAGTCTGTGTCACTGGGAAGAGTTTCACGCACAGGCTACTGGCTGCATGCTATAGCTATGCAGGTGTTACATAGCTGCGTGATATGGAGAAAGACATCCGTAGCTGAATAGAGTGTTCTGGTCTTTCTTGATTCTCTTATGTGCTTGATGTTGAAGTTTTCCTCGTGCATGTCTCCAGAAAATTGGGAATTGTTATCTTTCTGTTGAAGGCTGCTAACAGTTTCCTTAATTGTGTGGTGCTAAACAAAACAAAACAAAACAAAACAAAAACCAAAAAACCAAACAAAAAACCAAACAAACAAAAAAAAAGGAAACAGAAAGCATCATGTTGTACATATGATGTACTGCAATATCAGCACAAACATAGGTGGCACAGAAATTCTGTCAGTCTCTGCTGAGACACAAAGTGTGTGAACCTGGTTTCTGTCCTCCAGTGAGCAGATGAGGTGCAAGAAGCAGCTGGGTTCCTCCACCCTCATACACTTAACAGGCATGGGTTTCTTTCTGCACCCTTCCTTCCCTTGCACTGAGGAAAGGACCTGATCCCCTGCAGCCTGCAAGGTGTCAGTGCTGCCAAGGAACTGAGGTTTGCATCGCTGAATTCTGCAACACCCTTTGCACCAAGTACAAGAGGTGGTTTGGAGCCACATTACCATCTTTCCCTCCAACATCAGCTCTGTTTCACTGCCTCACACACACCTATAGGATCTTTCCCTTCACAAAAATGGTTCCAGCTGGCCTTGGGCACTTTGCAGGTCCTAGCTTCTCCACAGAGATAATAGCTGGTGCAGATCCCCAAGAACTAGGCTCTCGTTTGCCTTTGGCAATAACGCTCTCTCTTTCTACAGAAAAAGAGAGAAGGCTGCATCTTCTGATGGTGTGAGGAAAATGATAGTTGAACCCATAGTCTCCCAAACTGATTCTACAGGGACCTCTGTCCTCAACTCTGTAGGCAAAGGCCAGCTGGCCATACCAAGAGAGAGCTGAGGTAGAATCTTCCCAGCCATCATATAATTTATATAATCATATAAATCATATAATCTCTCAACACAGAGAGATTTGTGCTCAGCTTCCTCAGCATCTGAATCAGTTTGTATTTTAGCACAGTAGTACTTGCCAGAGTCATTCACTGAGGCAAAATCTATTGAAAAGGACAAGCAATAGCCCATACTCCCACAGCACTTGAAGCGATTCTGAAATTCATCCTCAAACTGCACATAGGGGCATGTGGTTCCCATCTGAAAACATCTGAGAGTCACAGCTCCTCCCGCTATGATGGCTGCCTCTGGAGACTCTTGAAGGGACTACTCTGTCAGGAGGCAGGAGGGAAGAAGCAGGATGCTAGGTAGAAGGTGAAATGATTTCAGGAGGAACGGAACGAAAAACCCCCTGCACAATATAGGAGGGTAAGGGATGTGTTTAAAACTATGGGCAAATTTCTCATGTGTCAATGAATACCTAGTAGAAAGAGCTGACAGAAAATGTGAATGCATTATAAACATTTCAGAAGGTGAGGAAAGCAGAAAAAATAAGTCAGCGATGGAAATCTGTCTGTGGTGGCAGTACAGGAACAGACACAAGGACATTGAGGAGGAAACACTGAGGAAGGAAGAGCTGCATAACATTGGGTGTGGGCAGGGCAGTGTGAGAGCACCTGAAATCTAAGAAAATAGTTGAGTGGCTGGGATCAGTGGGACATAATACTCGAACACAACACCTGTACAGCTGACTTCATATGTGTGTATGTGTGCATGCAATCACCGGAGCATGGTGGAGCTGCATGGGAGCCTGAGTTTGAGGCAGGGCAGGGGGGATGCTGTGTGGTTTTCCTTTCTTCCTTCTGTAAATACTCCTTTCTCCTCCAAAGAGACATCTGAAGGGAGGAAATACTGCCCTTGGCCTTATACTGGGAGTGCAAATGATTTTTGGGGGGTGAGAGTAGTGAGAAGAAGCTCGACAGGAATTCCCCTTCAACGACACAGAACAAGGTTACATGTAACACCTGCCTCCTCCTTGTGGGTTATTTGTGGTAGAACAGGAGAATTTCTTTCTCTCGCATGGATTGCATCCACTTCAAAATGTCCAGTGCTCTTGATGGTGTGTAACCTTGAAAGCAGTGTCCTGGTGGAAAGACCTGCATAGTTCGACGTGGTCAGCATGACCTTATGAAAGTGAAGGGTGGGAACAAGAGGGATGCTTATTGGGACACACACTCAGAGCACTGAAGCCTTGTTCCATTGAGACAGAGCCATATCCATTCACCCGCAATCCTTCCCAGATGACTCTGTACTTGGGCCCCTGACTCCCTTTTCCCTAGAGGCTCTCTCATTCTTTGTCAGACTCACATTTAACAGTGTGGCTCAGGGCTTTGGAAGC